CCTCCCCTGCGCAGCCCGCAGCCGCCCCTCCCTCCCCGGTCCTGGAGGAGCTTCCTCACAGCCCTCCCGGGTCTCCTCCCTCCCCGGGCCGCCCGCCCCCACGCGCACCGCGCCCTGCCCAGGAATTCCCTCCCGGGACCAGGCTGGTGAGCTGCTGCCCGCGTCCAGGCTCCCCAGTGTCCCCGCCGCAGCCGGAGCGTCTCCCCACGGACAGACAGACGCGAGGCAGCCCTGCCGCCCGGATCCCCCGCCCACCCGGACCAGGGGACCCACCTGGACTAGGGGAGCCACTGGACATGGACACGCGGGGACCCAAAGCCCCAGGCGGGGATGCGCGGCGGGACACGGTGAGTGCGGTCCCCTCGGTCCTCATCCGCCCCTCGGGTGCCGCACCCTGAAGGTCTGGGGGCGGGACGGGGTGGGCGCGGCTGGGGACACGCGGCACGCCCCCACGGTAAGCCCTTCCCACCCACCCCTTCTCTAGCAGGAAGCTACATTCAAAGTCTGTTTCCCTTGTCTCCATGAAGAGTGTTACCTGTGGTACGTTCGTGGGTCTGCATTCTCCTGAGAACGGTTAAAAACCCCAAACCCCCTGAGGAACTGCTCTGGATTCCAGGCATCTCCATAGATCAGTGCAGATTCTAGGACACCCGCCTCTGCCCTCCGGTCTGCGATGGATGCAGTGACCCCTGTGAGCACCGAATCCAGGGCCCCAGGCCTCTGTTCCAAGCCATAAACCAAAAGGCACAGGTGGCTGATCTCACTACCGACCCTGGTATTTCTGTATGTTAGTTCAGGGTGTGCACGGTCCCCCCAGTGTGAGGTCAGAATGGGATCTGCAGTGTCCCCCCAGGTGTGGGGTCAGTACACCATCTACGGGGTCCCCCCATTGTGGGGTCTGTTACGTGGTGGTGTTCTAGGTGCAGGCTCAGCCCACCCAGGACCCAAGTTACCGAGACGATCACCTATGTCCTCCGGGACCTTTGGTACATTTTCTGCTCACATCATCCAGAGTTGTTTTTGTGCAGCTGTGAGGCAGGGTCAGGCCTGCTGGGTGGTGATGTTCAGCTCCCTCATGCCCCATGCTCCTGAAAAGAGTTTCCTTACCCTCTGAATTGAAAAGCTTTGGCATCTTGTCAAAAATCTAACTATATAAACAAATAATTAAGGACGGTTCTTTTCCATGATTGCCAAGTGCCCTACATCAAGAATAAATATTTTAAAAAGAAAAAAACAAACAAAAGGACGGCAATAGATCTAATTAAATTAAATCTCATCAAAAGACTAAAAAAAAGTAAGTATTACATTCAGTTGTCTAATGGTTCATTTTTTTCAGGCAGAAAATCTATTTCAGGAACTTCAAGAACATTTTCAAGCTCTGATTGCAACGTTAAACCTCAGAAATATCCTTTTCTAGCTTATAACACGTGCCATGATGCTTTTGAACTCTAAAATTATCGTGCAATATCTTCTTGTCTGCTAGTGACCTAGGATTTCCTGGTTCTACGTTTGGTACCCCGATGTACTAAGTACTGCTCACAGGGAACTATGTCCTGTGGGACCAGCAGGACAGGGCACCGTGTGTGACAGGGATAGACGTAAGGGCACAGGCACAAGGCTGCCCCTGGGACGTTTCCACGAATAATCACCCTAAACAAATACATAGGAGCCCTATTTATCAGCCCTAGATAAATCTGGGTAGTGTGCTGAGGAACACTTATACCCTAGAAGCAACCAGAAACTTGCAAACAAGACATGGAATGTCTTCAACATAGGACACTGCATCTGGCTCTCCCAACCTTTGTTTTGTTTTGCAACTGTAGCAGCTCACTGTTTTTTTTAAGATGTGAATTCAGGGCAGCCCGGGTGGCTCCGCGTTTAGCGCCGCCTTCAGCCCAGAGCGTGATCCTGGAGACCCTGGATCGAGTCCCACATCGGGCTCCCTGCATGGAGCCTGCTTCTCCCTCTGCCTGTGTCTCTGCCTCTCTCTCTCTCTCCTTCTCTGTGTCTCTCATGAATAAATAAATAAAATCTTAAAAAAAAAAAAAGATGTGAATTCAAGAATTAGGGTAGAACGTTTGTTCTATTTTGAGCAAATCCAGATAATGGTAACATCTGCCCTAAGACTTGGTGCACTAGAGCTCACTCTACACAGTTAAACTCACTCCTTAGAAATTATAGGCAAAGTATTTGCTTACGGGACCGTTTACTTCAACTTTTGATTCTGTAGATGGGTTTTCATAGGGAAAAAATATTAAAACATGATAAAAATTAAACTGTAGGAAAGTTGGCTTTTTTAAAAAATATATTTATTTATTCATGAGAGACAGAGAGAGGGGGCAGGCAGAGACACAGGCAGAGGGAGAAGCAGGCTCCATGCAGGGAGCCCGATGTGGGACTCGATCCAGGGTCTCCAGGATCATGCTCTAGGCTGAAAGCGGCGCTAAACCGCTGAGCCACCAGGGCTGCCTGGAAAGTTGGTTTTAAACAAAATTAACTTCCATTATATGTACATATATTCATTAGAATCTGGTTACAACAGATGAATCCTACACGGGGAGCCAAGCATTTAGAACTGAGCTCTCAGTTCCAAGGTTTAACAGGCTACAAAAACCGTAGGAAAAAAAAAAAAAACTGTAGGGAGGGACGCCTGGATGGCTGAGTGCCTTCCTTTGGCTCAGGGCATGATCCTGGAATCCCATGATCAATTCCCACGTCAGGCTCCCTGCATGGAGCCTGCGTCTCCCTCTGTGTCTCTGCCTCTCTCTCCCTGTGTCCCTCATGAATAAATAAATAAAATATTTAAAATAAAACCATAGGGAATGGTTACTTTGCACCATAAGGTACATACAGGCCGCCTGACTCTCTCATTTTAAAGGTTGCATTGCTGAGGCATCTTTCTCAGCAGGTGTGACCTGAAGTCGGTCTCCTGGGACTTTCAGGCCGGTGTTCTGACCTTGTGTACAATTCCCCTTAACGTTGCACTGGAAGAAATGGGAAGTCGCCTCGAGGATCTACAGAAGAATGTAAATGACCTCATGGTGCAAGCTGGGGTTGAGGATCCTGTTTCGGAACAAGGGGCAAGGGCGTCATTAGGAAACTAAAGGTTTGCCTTCCGCCTGTGTTTTGATTGCTTTAATCTTGAAAAGGGCAATCCTGTATTTGTTCACCGTGGGGACCCCTGCCTCTGTGCTAGAGGGAAGCCTGCAGGGACAATAAAGGACTCTTACAAATGATCTCTTCTGAACACACTAACTGGGACAATTATCATAATTCCTCAGGAAGCGCACACTTTAAATGACAAGCTCTATTATTTAAAAATTGGCTTTTATTAAAGGACTTTTCACCACCACCCCTCAGGTTAGTCTTCAATCAAAACATGAGTCAGGATGAACTAGAGATTGGGGAGGGCAACTAGTAGTTTCCATCTGAAACCATATATTTCTATAATCCCATAAAGAAGACGCATGTGCCTTAAGTGCTCAGCCTATTTCACCGTGGCTCCCGAGGGTCTGCTCTGACCCCGCAATGCAGACATTTCTTTCCCAGTGACATGTCCCACTTCATCTTGAAGATGCAGATACATGCTTGGCTTTAGCTCTCAGACTGGATTTGTGTCTACGTGACATATGGAGATGCACAACTTTATTTTATTAGGATACATCTGCATATTTTATTTCCAGAATATTCTGATTACGTAAGCATATTGTGATTGGACAATGAGGTGCCTTTGTTTTCCCATTTTGTCTTAGGATTGTTGCCCTAAGTCAGCCGGTAAATTATCCACACTTGTCCTGCTGAATCAGAGCCAGTTCGCCTTCAGTTTATAAACCCCTACGTCTGGTATTGGGTAGGAGCTGCTGCTTAGGAGCTGTGAACATTGCAAAGGGTGGACAGCTTAACCTGTTCTGGCCACATTCCTGGCGGGCCCTGAGGAATCGGCTGTCCCTCCTCCCCACCCCCAACCCTGCAGGGCTGATTCTGGGATGGGACAAGAGCCTGAGGGCAGAACATGGCAGCCCAAGATCCTTCATCACCCAGATCAAGCTGCTGTTCTAAGTTTAGTCAACAAGTTAAATGATCAAATAGACATGGAAACCCCACCATTTGATGTGCGTGGAGCCCGAGAGAAGACCAGACATCCATGTTGTTGTTTTTTTTTTTAATTTATGATAGTCACGGAGAGAGAGAGAGAGAGGCAGAGACACAGGCAGACAGAGAAGCAGGTTCCATGCACCGGGAGCCCGACGTGGGATTCGATCCCGGGTCTCCAGGATTGCACCCTGGGCCAAAGGCAGGCGCCAAACCGCTGCGCCACCCAGGGATCCCCCCATGTTTGTTTAAATCAGTGGTACTGCCTTTTAAATGAAAAGAAGGACCTCAATAAATTGAGATGTTTGGGTAAATCTGTGTTTGTTGGTTGCACTCATCAGGGTTCACACAGGGACGCTGCACACCCCCGAGCCCCGAGTTCCTGCTGTGAGAAGGGAGAGTCAGCTATGTCAAAACGTTGGAAACTACTGTTCTCCGTCGGTAGACCTGGCACTTTGTCACCTCCCCACTAACCAACACGGTGGCCCCTTTCCTGCAGTTAATCAAAGTAGAGAGGCAGCATATTGCGGCCGGCCAGTGTTGTCTCCTGGATACTTGGGGGGTGAGTCACAGCGATGCAGTATTGATGCAGATGCAGAAGTAATGTTCTGTTGTCTCAAGAGTGCATGCTGTTTACCCCCGTCAGCTGCGGGTGCACAATGACTCCATGTGTGTAAGAAGAAAAGCATTTAGTATTTATGTTCTTCCACATATGGAATTTTTCCTGTCCATAAATGGACAGGGGAAATTTTGTATTTTTAGCAAAAGCTTTGGATTCCAGTTTATTTAACCATACATTAATTGGTATATGAAGAAACCATTACCTTTTTCAAAATTTTTTCTTACAGACCTTAAGACAGTAGACCAGCACTTGAAAATGTGATAAAATCAAACCTGTACTTTTAAAATAATAGTTTGCATGAGTTCTGATTTTTATTAATTTAAAAATTCATTTTAATAAAATGAAAGATTATAAGAACAAACAATGCAATAAGAAAATAATTCAGAAGGTGATTGACAAAGATAGTTGTAAAATTTTCCAGTGAACACCTGGTATTTATAAGCCATGGGACAAAGCCTAAGCTATATTAGGTCACTTTCTTTTTTTCCTGAATTAAGTTCTATATCGATTTTTTTTAAAACATCATAAATTGTCTTCTGAGATTGCTTTTTAAATAACTGCATTCCTTTTTTAAAAAATATTTATTTATTCATGAGAGACAGAGAGAGAGAGGCAGAGACACAGGCAGAGGGAGAAGCAGACTCCATGCAGGGAGCCTGATGCGGGACTTGATCCCAGGACTCCAAGATCACACCCTGGGCCAAAGGCAGGCGTCAAACCACTGAGCCACCCAGGGATCCCCAAATAACTGCTTTCCAAGTCAGCTTTTCCAGTCACAGAGTGTTTGGGAAGACTCGTTTTCATCTGTCTAGTTCAAACACATTCTGAGAATGATGTTCTCCAAACCCAAGAAAACAGCTTCTCCAGGCACACTTCGGCTTCTGTGGAGGTGGTCACCAACGAGAGAACAAGGACAAGATTTCGGCTTGTTTGCAGGTTATATAAACACAACCAAATAATTGTCCAATTTTCCCCTCTGAGCCAGAGTAAAATAGAGCTATGATCACCTAAAAGGGATAATAGGCTCTCAATGTAAAAAATAACACTATTCCTGCATATCAGAGAAATCCTGTTCTTTGTACAAAAGTCAAAATCGCAGAATTTTCCAGTTTAGAATAAGCTGCTATACACATTTTTCTGTGCATACAATTGTATATATGGTTGATCATGTTGTTTATAATCTCAGATCCTGTTCTCTTTTCATACCATAAACATTTTTTCCACGTGAAAATTTCATTCACTTCTCACACTTGTTTTTATGGCTACCATTCTATCATATGGCTGTAATAATTTAAACTTTCCCATAACTACCCCTTGGACATTGAGGCAACTTCCCACTTTCTTGCTACTCTAAATGCTGCTGCAAGGAGCACTGTTACCATGAATTCTCTGCATATTTTTCCTTAGGGCCAGAAGTGCAAGTGAAGGCCAAGTGCATTTAGTCAAAGGCATCTAAGGAAAGGAAGTGTTGTTTTATACTCCCTTGGTGGCACACATCTATCTTTTTCTTTTTTTAAATTTTATTTTATGTATTTATTCATGAGAGACACAGAGAGAGGCAGAGACACAGGCAGAGGGAGAAGCGGGCTCCCCACTGAGCAGGGAGCCCAATACGGGATTCTGTCCCAGGACCCTGAGATCATGGTCTGAGCACTTAACTGTCTGAGCCACCCAGGCGCCCCTGCCATTATACTTTTAGCAGAAACTTAAGTGGATATTTGAAGGAAACTGAACAGGCTTGAGTCCTCATTAACAACATAGATCACAATTCAAAATCTAGAATTTTTAAGAAATTAAGTAGAAAAGAAAGCTTCTAGGCCCCTGAGTGGTGCAGTCAGTTAAGCATCCGACACTTGACTTCGACTCCAGTCTAGATCTCAGGGTCATAGGATGCTACCCCACATTGGACACTGCACTCAGCATGGAATCTATTTGAGATTATCTTTCTCTCTCCCCCCACCCCCCAAACTCTTTCTCAAAATAAATAAATAAAATCTTTTTTAAAAGGAGGAAAAATGGGATGCCTGGGTGGCTCAGTGGTTGGGCATTGGCCTTCGGCTCGGGGAGTGATCCTGGAGTCCTGGGATTGAGTCCTACATTGGGCTTCCTGCATGGAGCCTGCTTCTCCCTCTACCTGTGTCTCTGCCTCTCTCTCTGTGTCTCTCATGAATAAATAAATAAAATCTTTAAAAATAAATAAATAAAAGGGGGAAAAAGAAAGCTTCTATTAGTTTTTTTGTTTTTTGGTTTTTTTTTTGCTTCTATTAGGTATTAACTAAAATAAAAACATTGGGGTGCCCGGCTGGCTCAGTTGGTAGAGTATGTGACTTTGGATCTCAGGGGCATGAGTTCAAGCCTCACATTGAACATGAAGCCAACATAAAACATGAAATAAAAACATTTATACTGTCAGAAAAAATACTTCTTTCTAAAGTAAGTTCCAAGCTGATCCCCTTTCATAGTCTGACATTTACTATCTCAAACCACAGACACCTACCTTTACAGATTATTTGGCATTTTATAATATCAACTGTTTTAACATCTTCTTAACATTTTTACAAAAGATTGCTATTTTCCAGTACCCTGTTACATATATATCAGAAGAAATCAGGGTCACCTGGGTGGCACAGTTGGTTGAGTGTTCGACTCTTGGTTTCAGCTCAAGTCATGATCTCAGGGGTGTGAGATGGAGCCCCATGTCAGGCTCTGTGCTAAATCTGCTTGAGATTCTCCCCCCCTCCCACTCATGTTCTCTCTCTCTAAAGTAATAAATAAATCTTTATAAATAAATACATAAATAAGAAAGAAAAAACCCATAAAAAATAATTAATAAAAATAAATAAAAATGCTCCCATAGGGGAAAATTAATAGATGGATTTACGTGTGCTTAAACACACTTATTAATATAAACTAGATTAATATGAAACTTTAGTAGCAAGCAGTTTACTCATAGAGTACTTAAGTAAAATGTTGGAAATTCAATGTCAAATGCTATATTTATATATTGTAATTTAAAGCTCATTTAACACAAAATTTGGGAACTTATGAAAACATCAAGTTTAATAATACAGGGCTAAGTTTTCAAATTAGCAGTTCTGGATGCAATTGTGTGAAGTTTTAAATTCTCACATTTAATTTCCTTTCTTTACAACCATGGTCTCTTGCCTGATCTCTCACCAAAGACTTTTAACTCTCTTCCCAAATCCCCTTTTAGCTCCTCCAAGGGGACAGACAGATCTTCTCAGAACTAAAATTTTATACCTGGTTCTCAAGGCAAAGCCTCTCATTGTTACCCCACCCCCACCCCATACCTAACCACACCACATGCTCCAGTTCTCAAACAGGCCCCCCTCTCTCCACCACCATGGGCCTCCTGCTGTTCACCATCTGGAATGCAATTACCCCTACACCCACCTAGTCCACTTTTTAAATATCTGATCTCAACTTGAAAATGATTTCCTAAGGGATTCTTTCCCTGAGTCTCCATCTGGGTCAGATCTACTTTTTATATGATCATCTAGCACTCTACCTATTGACTGTCATAGTTGTAATTTCACTTTTACATGATCATTTGGCTATCTTCACGAGGCAGCAAGCAACCAGATTGATTTGGCTCAGCCCTGGGCCCCAGGAGCTACTCAAAGACTTTTTAACAATTTTTTGTACATGTAGATATGTGAGAGCTTAACCACTCTACTGAACAAGAAAATCAGAGGCCAGATGGAGGATGTGGGCTTTAGCAGAGGCTGGGGAAGACTAGTGGGATGTTGCCCCACTACAGTGTGCAAAGCAATATAAATCTCATTAAGACGCTGTTGGTGTTCTTTGTATAGCTTTTGATGATAACTGTAAAAATGCTACAAAGGGTACTAAAACCAGATGTATTTTAAAAGTCATTAATAAAAATGATGCAGAAAAAGCTACTCAAAATGGCACCTATATAAAGGGGGTCCTCCCAAAGTTCCCCATTCTGATTTTTCAAGACATCAGGCTTTACCAACTAGCACCTCAGCTTTCAGATAAGAAACCTAATGAGGCCATGAACATATCCTATATTTTAACTGAGCAACCTGAGGAACCAAACGCTAGGTGCAGTTTTTGTTAACATTAGTGAGTGGTATTTAGGATAGTCATAGTTTTGATTCTGTTAGTGCCCTGAGCTCCCCATCTCTTCTCTGCATGGGCTCAGAACAGTCAGGAAAAGGCAGTCTACCCTAGGGGCCCACACAGAACAACAATCTACTGCAAACACACAAGGTTGCCGGTTCTTTTTAATGCTTCAGATCTTTGTTTTGAATGTCTGAAAACTGTAAATAAATGACATCATGCCATAGTATCCTTCCGCACCTAGCTTCTCCATTCAGTAGTTTGAAATTCATCTATGTTGATGTATGTAGCTGTATGTCAGTCACTAACAGCTGTGTAATAATCCTTTGAATTGTTTCCCGTTTGATTAATATTGTTTCCAAATAATGCTGCAATAAGCACTCTTGTGTATCTCTGTCTGTTTCCTTAGGGTACTTGATTACTTACTGCATCCCTGAATATATTCCGTACCTTCGGCTAGTTGTTGCTTCTATGTCAGCTGCCATGACTAATTCTGGACTTTGCACAAAGACCACCTTGGGGAGGACAGGAAACAGAAATCCTTCAGTGGTATACTTTCTGTACTAGTTAATTTCAACTTGAATAAAGCAATAAAGCAACACAGTGCAGCAATGGGGCAAGGTTGGTAGCCCTGCAGATCTAGGTTTGAATTTATGTCCTCTGCTGTGAGGTATAACTCTGGGTAAACTAAGCTTTCGTTTTCTTCTCTGCAAACTATCTACCTAGCAGGTGGTTGGAAGAATTTGCGAAAATGGCTTGTCAATAACTTAGTTCTGGATGAAGTAGACAGTAGATACATAATAATAAGATATGAACCTGGAAGAGACCAAACCATTATAAAGTAAACCATATTGGAGTTACAAAGCACCAGTGAAAAGATAGTTATTAAAGTCAAATGAATAACTTATTACAATTTATACACCCAACAAATTTACAGTAACTACAGAGTAAGTTTACAAATGTGGGGTGTAATATTTTTGCTTATTTTTCTGTTAACAGCTAATAAAGCTTTATCAAGAAGAGATATAATTCACATACTATACAATTCACTCAACACAATTCAATGGGTTTTGGTATATCCACAGATGTGTACAACCATCACCACATAAACATTTTCATTATCTCAAGAAGAAATCCCATACCCATTAGCTATCACTCCCTTTGTCCCCCTCCCCCTAATCTTAAGCAATCACTACTCTATTGTCTCTATGAATTTGGTTATTCCAGACGTTTCATAAAAACGGACTCATACGATATGTAGTGCCTCACCTCATTCACTTACCATGTTTTCAAGGTTCACCAGGCTGTAGCGTACATCAGTACTTCATGCCTTATGAACAAATAATATCCCATTGTATAGATGGACCACATTTTGTTTATCCATTCTGCAGTTGATGGACGTACGGGTGGTTTCCTCATTTTGGCTATTATGAATAATGCTGCCACTAAAGTTCCATCCAAGTTTGTGTGGACATACATGTTTAGTTATCTTAGGTATATACTTAGTACTGATATTTCTGGGTCAAAGGGTAATTCCCTATTTTATTTAAGATTTTATTTATTTATTCACAAGAGACACACAGAAAGAGGCAGAGACATAGACAGAGGGAGAAGCAGGCCCCATGCAGGAAGCCCGTTGTGGGACTCGATCCCGGTACTCTGGGACCATGCCCCGAGCCAAAGAGAGACGCTCAACTGATGAGCCACCCAGGAGTCCCCCTATTTTATTTTTTGAGGAACTGTCAAACCATCTTCCAAAGGGTTGCCCATTCCACCACTCCACCAGCAGTGTGAGGGTTCCAATTTCTCCACATCCTTGACAACACTTGTACTCATCTGATCTTGGAATCTATTCATACCTGTCTCAGTGAGTGTGAAATGGCATCTGCAGGTTTTGATCCGCATTTCCTTTCATGTGATCCTTGGCTGTTTGTCCTACCTTGGAGAAATGTCAGGAGTAGAATATTGAATGTCTATTATATGCCGGGCATTTGGGGTCATGATGATTTTTCCATTAGCCTCTCATTTGATGTGGCATTACACTCCCTATTTTGTAAATGGGAAAATTAAGGCTGGACCAATAAAGCTGAGGATTTGCATTTGAGTTTGAAATCCACTTCAAGCACACCTCATTTGTATTTGCTGGTTTGTACTTGTGTCTCAACCACAGTCAAACCACAGTCAATCTGGCCATGGCAGTGAGTGTTTTCACACCAAGAAGGGCCCACCAGGCACTATTCTGACACACATGGGACAAACAGAGACTACCAACCCCACCCCCCCCTCGGAGAGAATGGAGTTCCAGGAGGCCACTTGCTACAGTAATTGGCAGAGCCCAGCCTTGAAAGCAGACGGGCCCCACGCTCCACACTTTCAGTCTGTGTGCACAAGATGTGCCTGGGAAGATCCCAACCAACCACCTACCCACATGCTGCTGGGGTAGGAGAAACAAAAAACTGCATGTACCAGGAGCTGTGGTTGCTACAGAAAATACAGATTGCTTGAGGACAGTAGATACGAGCTCAGGGGGAATAGAAACAACTCTTACTCTATATTTAAGAGGAAAACTCTGGGGCACCTGGCTGGCTCAGTTGGTTCAGCATCTGCCTTTGGCCCAGGTCATGATCCTGGGGTCCTGGGATCCAGTCCCGCATCAGGCCCCCTGCTCAGTGGGGACTCTGCTTCTCTGTCTCCCTCTGCCCTTCCCCCTGCTTGTGCTCATTCTGTCAAATAAATAATCTTAAAAGAAAAAACCCTCCAAGAATCATTATTTTATTGCACTGTTTTTATAGCAAGAAGAATAAAAGACATTTTTCCTCCCAAGTGTATATTCTTTCTGAACTCAACCTTTGGATTGTGTTGTGTGTTGCATTGCACCCCCAGTAAGTTCCCATGTCAGGAGTTCAGATCCCCAGGACAACATGCACCCCCCCACTTTTTACAACATGCCCTTATTTGGAGATGGGTCATCACAGATGTAATCAGTTAAGATAAGGTCATGCTCCTGTGGGGTGGTCTTCTCCAGTGACCAGTGTCCTTAGAAGAGGAAATTTGGACACAGACACACATGCAACGAGAAGGCCATGTGAAGGTTGTGAAGGGGCAAAGATTCAAGCCACAGGATGCCAAAGATCAGCAGAAATTAGCAGAATCTAGGAGAGGGGCAGGGAACAGATCCATCACAGCCCCAAGGAACCAGCCCTGACCTGACCACACCTAGACCCGAGGCTCTGGCCTTCAGATTGGCAAGGCAACTCATTTCCATTGTCATCCAGTCTGTGCCACTTTGTTCTGGCAGCCCTGGAGAACTCACATGGATTCCTACTGCCACATGGGTAAAACATGGTGAATTCTACTCCAGTGCTAAAGATGACGATTAGTCTCCAACTGCCCAAACCAGTCATCTGTACGGCAAGGTTCATAAGAAATAAGCAATTATGACTTTCCATCACTGTGTACTTTATTCGTGTCAGCTAGGTATTTACAAATATTTGCTAATATAAAAATACAACGGCCAGACAGGCAAAGAGTTGATGCCATGCAACCCTTACTACAAAGACCCTCCAAGTCCTTGAGCTTTGAATTCACTTCCAAACGCTTTCTCTAAGGCTTTAGTTTCAAATATTTCCACGTGAAAACAATTCTGCACCACTTCTGTGCACGGAGACTGGGCTGAGCTCAGTATCTGTATTTCGTGGAGTAGTCCTTTGGAGACACAACCAGGCCGCGGCCTTTCCGGGCGCCCCGGTACACAGTCTCGATGATGTCTATCATTTCCTGTTTGTCTTCCATGGCCCAGTTGATCTTGTTGTTGTTACCAGTACCCAGGTCAATCATGATGTGCTTGTTCCTGCAAAGAGGACATGGGGGGGGGGGGGGATCAGTGCTCACAAAAATCCTTCTAAAAACAGTTCCGTAAAAAAAATGCCATTTCCTACCATCTCAGGCTCTTGTTAAACATCAGTGAAGACAAGAACACAGTCAAGAGGATCCACCATGATTTAGAAGATGGAAATAATGTAAACACTATCTTAACACAGCCATGCTTGGTGCGAGCTCCTTCTGTATACTCTGCGACTCCCTCAGGACCCATGTCCTCTGGGGAGCTGAAAGGTCAGAGGGCACAGTTCTAGTCACTTGGACAGTAACAGCATTTTCTGGGGCAGAGGGGTGGGGGAGTGAGGATTTACTTCGGAAACACAACACATGAGATTTTCATGGCACTCTTGGGAGCTCTGGGCCAAGGCCCACTAAAGGCCCCAGTGGCCTCAGAATTTTTAAAAAGCCCTAATTGTGAAATTAGTATATTTTGCATTACTACGATCAGGGAAGTAGACGATATTTTACGAATTTGTTTTTTAAAAGGATACTTTAAAAAATGATCTTGTATGTGCACTTGACAAAGAGAGTAATCTTTTCTGTCCTTGGTGCACTGTTTTCCCCAGGTCTGCTGAACATTAATTTGTTTTCATTAATTTAACTTTTCACTTGAACAAGAATGAAGCGCTCTGTCCTGCAGTCTCTGCTTTGGATGCCTTTCAACCAGAGCGAGCATCCAAAAAGGCAAATTTGATGCTTCTCTACTGCGAACACTCACTTGCAGGGTAACACTGCGCACCCGCACTCGGGCCCAGGGATCTGGGGGCGGGGACCCGGCTCCTTCTTCCCACCAGTGTGCCAGCCATTCTGCATCCCTACGGGACACCAAACACCTGACTGTTCATGCCCACACTAGCCCCTAGGAATGCATGTGCTCTTTCTAAACTTACTTAGTACTTGTGTCTCTATAAATACCTATCCTCTGGCCCTTCTGTGTCCTTTTGCTAGTCTACTCAGCTGTGGCCAACCCATGAAGCTCAGGGATGGTAGGAACCCTGCTGTATCTGACTTGATGTCCTGGTGGAGACCACAAAACCTGGCAGGACTCAATATATGCATTTGGTGAAAAAAATCAATAGCAGTACTGATGTGCCTCATCTTAGAAATCTGGGTCACAGGAAGAGCAGAAGGAGGGTCCGTATTCTCTTCTGAGGCAGTGCTCTGGTTCGGCTGCCACAGGCAGCAGGAGGCTGGACCCAAGACAGCCTCATGAGTCGCACCTGATGGCCTGGGGAGAGTTTTGAGCAGCACGAGAAAAGGCCTAGGCTGCCGTGAAGAGCTGTCGGTAGAAACACGATCTGAAGAGTGCGGGCGCCGAGGGCAGCAAGGAACACGAGGCTGGGATAGAGTAAGGGCCTCGATACTTGGTGGCTGGACATCAGTGACCCTGTCCTGTGGTTCTGGAGAAGCAGAAGTCACAAGGATGCACTTGGATGGTCAGCGAAGGAACTATCAAGCCAAGTCCTGCAGGGGCTGCCTGGTTTCTCCCCACTGCGGACAGCAAAGCGAGGAACACGGTTGTAAGACCCACGAATGCCCCTCAGCAGATACTGGATCCAGGAATGACCTTCTGCAGAAGCCCCGGGAAGCTCTGTGGCCAGAATGCTCAGTCCCAATGAAGAATGGTGTGCCCCACCGGTCTTTGCAGATGCCCGGGGCAGGGACTTGGGCTGCAGGGACGGACAGTGCAGGCGACAAACCCCAGGGGCTACGGCTGAAGCAGGGTGGGAAGCTGCCCCATGGCACATGCCTTTCCTAGAAGAGGCTGGGAAGCCCCGGCTGAACTGTCCCAGGGCCCCTGAGAAATCAGAGCTGCTTCCTCTGCTGCCCTACTGGGTGCTGCCCTACTGGGTGCTGGGGAGCCGAGGCCACGCAGGATGGGTGTCCAGGGGCCCAAGAGGCCTCAGCCTTACTGATTTTGCTTAGGGGAAGGATGTGCATCTGTGGACCCGGAGCGCACACTATGGCAGACAAAACCCTACACTCAACCCTGAGAAGTTCCTGGTGATGTGATGAGATGCCAATGCTCAGCAACATTACAGACACATAGGGTCGGGCAGGCGACCCCGAAGGTTACAGATCCACTGACTTTAAAATAAGGGGATGATCCTGGATTATCTGGTTGAGATAATCGGCGGCATAGCAGAAGCAGAACAGGGAAGCGCAGAGACAGTGCAAGCCCCGAGATGGAAGGGGCTCAGGAGCAGGGGGCCCCAGCACGCAGCCAGCGAGGACACAGCGGCTTCACACCCACAGCCACAGGAAGTGGACACGGCCACAACCCCACGAGCAGTGGCTTCTTCCCCGATTGATGGCCGGCTAAGGGCCCAGCGCATGACTGGCCTCCTGAGACCCTGGGAGGGCTCCTACTACCTGTGCTGTTTTCAGCTGCTACAGTTGTGCTAACTTGTCACATGAGTACAGGCTGAGACACACCCTATACCGTCCT